CCTGGATAAATGCAGGACATATACTAAGTGACATATAAATCCGAACACGCAGTTTAAATGGTTTTATTTTAATAAAAGTTGGTGAATGTATTTGTCTTACTGTAAATAACAAGTGAAAAAATTTTCAGCCTTATCAGTTGGACATTCCGGTTTTTATACTGCTTTTTTTTAATTCACTAACGCTCTAAAAATGAATATTTCAGCCGCAGTAAAGAATCAACGTTGGCGGATTTTGGTTCTTGACATCCATTACGATCGGTTACGATGCCTAGAGTACGGAAACCTGTACGATTTCGTCAACTTAGTGAGTTTGATAGGGGCCGTATAGTGGGACTTCGGGAAGCTGGACTTTCTTTTCGAGCAATTGCAGTTAGAGTGCAAAGAAGTGTAGACACTGTGGTTAGGTGTTGTCAGGCATGGCTTCGAGAAGGCCGTACGCAAAGAGCAAGGGGCACTGGACGCCGCCGTAGAACAACAGACCGTGAAGATCGCCGCCTAAGATTATTGGCCTTAAGGGAACGTTTCTCCACTACCAGGTCCATTGCAAATGAATGGTTTGCAGAACACGGAAGACCTATTGGCATGCGAAGTGTTTACCGACGAATGAGAAGTTTTGGCTTGTTTTCATACCGGCCACACTGGGTCCTCCCTTTAACTCGAGAACACCGACGTAATCGCCTTGAGTGGTACAGACAACGGTCACTCTGGGATCAGGAATGGAACTGTATTGTCTTTAGTGACGAGTCTCGATTTTGTTTAGGCATGCACGATGTTCGTGCCAGGGTTAGAAGGCGACGTGGTGAAAGGAGGAATCCACAGTTTTTTGTTGAAAGACATGTCCATCACACTGTTGGAGTTATGGTTTGGGGTGCTATAGCTTATGGTTCCAGGTCACCTTTAATCTTCATCAGAGGTAACATGAACGCGCAGCGTTATATCCTCGAAGTTCTAGAACCCCATCTTTTACCCTATCTTGACAACCTGGCAGATCCAACTTTCCAACAAGATAATGCCCGACCACATGTTGCAAGAGTCACAATAGACTTCTTTCAACATAATGATGTCACATTGTTACCATGGCCACCAAGATCTCCCGACTTATCCTCAATTGAGCACGTGTGGGATATGATGGGTAGGAGATTGCTCAATTTGCAACGTCCTCCTCAGGCTCTAGAAGCACTGCGAGAGGAGTTGGTGGTTGCCTGGAATGAGATACCACAGGAGGACATTGACCACCTGATCAGAAGCATGCCTAGGCGCGTTGGAGAATGCGTAGCACATCAGGGTGCACCCACACATTATTAAAGGTCAAAGGGCTTTAAAGCAGTGCAATCATTTTGAAATTTTTATCATTTACTTATTATGCTTCATTAAGAACTTATACAAAATTTTATTAAAATAACACCATTTAAACTGGGTGTCCGGATTTATATGTCACTTAGTATATCTCAGCCTAAAACTGTATAATAAACTAGAAAATGATATTAAAGATATTAATGATCTGGGCGTATTCAAAAAGACGGTGACCAGCTACTTCCTGAATAAGCCTTTCTACAGTGTATCGGAATATCTGGAATCTTGAAATTTAGCTGTTTGGCTGCTACTACACCATTATTTTTCTGTAAAATTATATGAATACTATCATTTGAGTGTGTATCGACGTTTTCTATGCCATGTATTTGGTCGATTAGAATAAATTGATTATCATTATCACAAATGTTTAATAAAGAAGAGGTAGTGCTGTTATGAGGCCAGTTTGGTTTGCCGGCAATATGTGAACTTTTCGTATTAGAATCCCCCCTCGAAGTTTCACTGGGTACTTTGCTAACACCCTGTATTTATGTCTACTACTTTCAGCGTAGTGGGTCTTGCACCACTCAGTTCGACGCGATGTAACAACGCCACGGCATAACGCTTTCCCCTATCTACGTCTTTTTCGGATTCCGAACATGTCCCGTCGAGGGAAATAAAGGGATTTGCCGCGAACCATAAATCAAAACCTCTTTCACACAAAATCAACAAGAGGGCCAAATATAAGTTAGCAAATGAGAGGGATTCACCTATCTAGCAAACACATGGGAGCCTGAGGCGGAGGCTTTCCTCGCAAACTGAATTTTTCATACATATCTAGAAAAACGGCAAAGATACCCTGGATGCATTTTCATATAAATTATATCGCATATATATAGATCTGGGGGGTGAGCGGTAGCCTTTAGAAGCTGTTAGTCATCCTAAACAATGATTTATGGTGGCGAACATATTGCGGGATGAACTCGTTTGTAGCCAGCGGCTGTGACTGCCTCTGGGCTGTGCGTCTCGAAAAGGGACAGTTGACACGCCAGGACGCCATGTTGCTTCCACAATACAATATACAATTCAATACTTTATTGGTGTTAGTGTACATACTGTACTTACACACGTCAGTCTGTAACAAAATGTTTATAGTATACATAGATAATAATCTTTTAATCCACTTTGCAGATGACAAATGTGTATAAATAATGATATATAAACAGGCACAGTGAAATAATAAAAATAATTTGAAAAGCAATAACAGATACAGCACATATCAAAATTTAAAGTCCAAGAACTCATGGTATGAATAAAAAACATTTTCAGCAAGGAAACTTCTTATTGTCTGTTTAAAAAGGCATTTAAATTTAAGGATCTGATTTGTAGTATTTGGGTGCAGTAATTTTTAAACTTATCTGACTTTTCGTTAATCTTACAAAAAGAATATTTAAGCACGCCTTGTATCAGAGTCAGTATGTGAGGTACGCGAACAGCAATTTAAATACTGTTTAGCATACATCAGTGGTTCATAAACATATATTGAAGGCAATGTGAGTATCCTCAATTCTTTGAATGCTTGTTTGCAATCGTCAGTATAATTCAGTGAATACAATATCCTAATTGCCCGCTTCTGTAAAGAGGCCAGTCCTGCACCCTGACCCCAAACTAAGATACCATATGATATCAAAGAGTGGCATAGAGTAAACTGACTTCAACGTATCACTGTTCAACTCATACGATAAGCTTCTAAGTAGGTAAACATTTTTTCTTAGCTTTTTTGCTGTTTCATTACTGTGTATGTCCCATTTCAATTTCTTATCTGCGGGTATACCTAGAAATTTGTATGTTCTGCATGTTGTGTTTCTGGATCTTTCAATGACAATATCATATTATCTGTCTTGTTTTCACTCACGGTCAGCTTATTTGCATCAAACCAGTTTTTGGCAGTCGACTGTGCGATCACACCTTCCTCAAGAAGCTCAGAAATTTTGATCTAACAGAGATGGCAGTATCATCAGCAAATGTAATATCCACTATACCGACCCGCACAAACAATTCATTACATTCTTAAATACCGCAAACCAGATGCCTTGTTTTTACTTTATTTGCCAATCGCGGGGAAGTAATTTTATCGGTAAAGTTGTGAAACTAAGATATGCTGTTTGGTAGTTATATGACATGTACATCACCAAAAAAGCATGTCACTGATTTCCGTCATACTGTCTGTCTGTTTGTCTGTTGATCTCTCCCCTAATTTCATAACCGCCTATAACTTAAGAAGTAACACTCGGATTTGGATTAAATTTTAACACAAGGTTACTACTATCCCAAATATGAAAAAGCTTTGTACTTTTTAAAAATCGGTCTAGTGGTGGCGGACCTAGGAGCAAAAATGCGAAAAATATGAAAACAAATTTCTTGACAAATGCTTTTAAGCCGTCAATAAATTTATTAGTTTATATGCATTAATTTAATTTTGATTATTCCAGTACATTTTTCTTTCGTGTCAAGATAGATAATAAATATTATCATTATTAAATAGTATGTGCATATAATTCCCCTATCCTAAGCATATTCATTATTGGTAGACTTGATAACTGGTGCTCATGAATCAAGAAAGAAATCAGAACAGATTGAAATATACATGTACGTAAGCATTGGAGGGGGTAAGAGGGGGGTTAATAATTGTAAAAATCTGCTTACGTAATACTTGAATGGCCTCTAGGCTTGGTTCCTAGGACAAAGCAGGAAAGCATAGCAACTATCCTTTATCCAGGATTTAAGGCATATCGAAATGAGACAGGATCGACCACCGCGAGAGTGTTGTAGCAGCAATGTTGAAACTGTAAAATATCAGCTCTCGTTGAATAGTCAGAAAACTGAGATCTTGATGTTTTTGAAACATCATATAACTACTCTTCACTTAACGATATCCATTTCTGTTAAAATCCTAACAAACATTTACCAAAAAGTACATAACTTCACACTAGTTTTTCTTACTAAGAAACTACTTGTTTTACTGAAAAAAGCATAGACCAGATAAGCTTTAGCAAAAAGGTCAGAACGGAACATAGGAATCAACCCGCGTATACTTATTACGTGGGTAATATACTGAATTCGGGACAAACGAATCTAGTGCCTTAAGGTTGAATTAAACGAGACATAATTTCAGTGAGGACTAACCGACTCTCGACTCTCGCTGGCTAACAAACCTCTTCCTCATTAGAAGAATTGTGACCCGTCTGATTATATCTTTTCAAATTATCAAAATTATCTCACCGCATCTATTGTACTATCATGATGTATGCCTTTTTTTGTTAACAGTAAAAACGATATATACTATTATCAGGTAAAATATCAAGTAACCAAATAAGTTCGTGCGGTTGCCGTATATCGCACATTGCCATGGATGTTGCTGATCGATAGCGATTGTTTGTTACCTGTTGTCCCTTTAGCATGAAGCCCTATTTTCTCACACACATAAAAAGTTGCTGAAAATTGATACATACCTAGTTTTAATAATTCAAAATGGCGACGAATAAAATAGTAATTCGAAGTTGTTTACTGTATGAGTACAAACTTGGTATAAAAGCTGCAGCGGCGGCGCGAAGCATATGTACCGCATTCGGAGATGATGCCGTTAGTGATCGAAGAACTTCTGTGGTTCAAAAAATTCTCTTCGGGAGATCTCAGTTGGAGCGATGAACCGCGCTCAGGGAGACCAAAAATCATGAACAATGAGGATCTTCGACAGGTTGTGGACGCAAATTCCAGGACAACGTGCCAAGAACTTGCAGAAATGTTTAGAGTGTGTCCTGAAACTATTGGTTTGCATCTTCATCAGCTAGGAAAGACGTGGAAGTTAAGCAAATGGGGCCGACATTAACGGACAAATGGTAACAAATTTAGTGGTCTTACCATTTACTCAGCAAACATTTCACGCAACGCTACTGAACCATTTCTCTCGGTTATTAACCTGCGACGAAAAATGGGTCTTGTATACGAAGCGTTCATACCATTGCTTGTCTCATACTGATTCGGTACCACACGCGCCCAAGGCTTCGTTGCACCCAAACAAGCTTTTCTTGTGTGGTTGGTGCTCAGCAACTAGAATTGTCCATTATGAGTTTCTGGAAAGGGGGCAAACCATCACTGCTTCAACGAGTACAAGCAGCACTCATTCAAAAACAGCCTTCTTTGATCAATCGGAAGAAGTTGATATTCTTGCAGGATAACGCCAAGCCTCATACCGCAAAAAAATGCCAGTTGATCAGCGTACCGAATGAAAGCTTTGTGAATTATTGAACAATAAATTTCTACCTGACTCTGCTATGCCATAAATTCCCTTCTCGAGCAGACTCAGCGTCGTATTGAAAATGATACGCTAAAACACTGTAATACATCAAGATTTGAGGGAGATAATATGTAGTTCAAGTTCCTTGTCAAGCAAGGGTCAGTCGTCCCCAAAACAAATGTCTAGCTCAGTCCACGCATCCGAGTCAATCATAAAATATTACAAGTTTTCTATCGATGACATTTCCCATGCATTCTAAATTCGTTCTATCGGATGGTCTGCAGGGTCTGCAGCCTCCAATGTTGTCAAACGTAGTGCTTTTCCGTATATCCGCATTGACCACAACAAATTGTTGGAAATTGTCAGAAAATATGGTATTATTGGTCAGTCTCTTAAGGGGGCCAGATCGTTTTTAGTCCAAAGAAAGCAATATGTTTCTGTACAACACCTTGATGCAGGTAAAATATGAAAAACTTTGTGTTAGGTACGTTAGACATTTCGGTTGTCCCTCTACTCTTGGACCGATCTTTTTCCTTTTATATGTTAATCAGTTAAATGTAACAACTTAATAAGGAATATCAATATGTGATTTAACCAGTACTTGAACCTATCCACAATGCTTATTCGTTTTCATCTTGCACAAAAAACTGTAGAGGAGTTTGAAGTCAGATTGGCTGACGATAAACTCGATTTCAGAGGAGAAACAAAATTTCTTGGACCACATATTGATTCGAACCTAAATTGGAAGCCCCATTGCGAATTCCTTATGGTGAAAATAAACGCTCGAATGGTTTTATATACAAGTACAGTGAAATCTCCTTTGGTCGGATACCAACGGGACCGATTGAAAGTGTCCGTTCAAGAGGCGTGACCGTATAAATACAACAAAAATCCTAATGAAAACAATGGAATAAAAAGTCACTTTAAGGACGCAAAAATGCATATATTGTCATTTATCTCTTCTTTCTTTGAAATAGCGTCTTGAAATCGTATTTCTAATTCAGAAAGAAGCTCCAAAAATTCTGTACGTATTTCATTGATTTTTGACAAAACTTTTGCTTTACTTGGTCAGGGTAATAGCTTTACCATAGTTTGGAATATCTTCTGTTGCTACTGGAACCTCATTGACATCAGAATCTTTGGAAACTGGATTTTCAATTTCTTGGCCTGAATTTGGATCTTTAACATACAAACTTTCATATACAGGGCCGATATGTAACTGACTGGTTTGTATTTTGAATATTCGTGAAATGAAATCAAATACGTCCATTTTTCAACTTAATCTTTTATTGAAACTTAGAAATTATGTATGGAAACTAATATCAGACAAATTTCCGCCTCTAGAAGCCGCGCAAACCTGAACCCTCTTGATTACATTTTTCATCACTTTTTGGTAGGTTTCGAGAGGAATATTTTCAATCGTTTCCGTAATATTGTTCTTCAGCTGCTCTGCAGTATTTAGTTTGTTGGCATAAATCCTATTTTTCAAAAATCTCCGTAAAACAGTCAGGAGCCGTTAAATCCCGTAACTTTGGTGGCCAGTTAACATCACCAAATAGTGAAATTAAACGTCCCGGAAATATTGTTCGCAAGAGATTCATTGTTTCCCTAGCTGTGTGACAAGTTGCTCCGTCCTGCTGGAATCACATGTTTTGCATGTTCAATTGTTGGATTTGAGGTGCCAGAAAATTTTGCACCATATCACGGTAGCGTCTTCAAAGAAGTACACCGCACCAAACTGTGACTCGACGAGGATGTAGTAATTGTTGATGGATTACACGAAGGTTCTCTAATTCCCAGATACGACAATCCTGCTTGTTAACAAATCCGCTGTATTGTCGGCGACTTTCATGGTCACTAGGCTGTAGTTCTTGGGTTAACTGAATTTTTTACAGCCCCAAATGCAAGTCTTTTTAAAATAGTGCATAATGACGTGCGACGAATACCCGGTTCTTGAGAACGATGTCTGGTAGACGTCTCAGGGCGCTCCACTACATTTTCACGAACTATCTCGATATTTTCCGGAGTACGAACACGACCCGATCTAGGCAAGTCTTTAACTTCACCTGTTTGTTCAAATTTCCGCACCAACTGACGAATGGTGTTAACACTGGTCACATTATTTCCACCGAAATCTTGTCGTAGCATCCGAATCGTTGCAATAATCAACTCATTATTTAAGTAAAACGTAAAAACTGAAATGCGTGTTTAAAAGATGTCGCGCAATTTACATTAGTCAGTTATATGGGTATTCCTCAACGAATTTAGAAATTTCATTTTGCATTTCTTAAAAACAAATGAAAATATATCCTTTTTGCAGAAATATAAAGTTTTATTTTAGGAGCTTCATTGAAAATGAAGTTCCTCCATATTTTTGTGTATAACATGTAGAAAAATGACTTTTAAAAACTATGAAATGAGGGAATGACTGATAGGATGGGGGAATGATTTTTACAACAATTTGATGCTGTATTGCAATAAAAAACATAAGTTAATTTATCAATAGATTGTATTGAGATGTTTTATACTTTAAAGGGCACATCCTCGTATTTTCATCATTCTCTAAGAAATGAACAATATCACCTCTAACTTTCAGCATTTTGTAGCTAACTTTACGAGTACAGTTCTTCTTTGTACGAATCGTTTTGAAAAAATGTTTCGATCTATATAGCAATTTGTATCTTTTGTACTTATTGCGGCTTTAACATGTAATATTTTTTCTTTTCTCCATGTTTACTTCCAAGATCTTCATAGATATTCTTGAGATCCGTTTGCAGAGCTTCTCCGAAAATGAGTCTTTTTCTTACAACGTCAGGAACTTGTATATTCTTTAAAAGTTGCTGGAGAGTTTGGGTCAGTATTTTTAGTTTCAATCTCAAACACCTCTTCTTATATTTTTCGCTAAGCTTGACTGCGTTCCTCACTTTATTTTCCAAACTTTTAATCTTCGCCTACAGAATAGTTCGCCGCTTGCGCATTCTACATCTATTGAGAGCAGACAAATTCTCTGCTCTGTGCTGTAAAGATGGTGCAGGACTTGGTGGGGTGTGTCTTCAACTATTCCCTGTAAATTTGTTTGTAACGTAACTCGCTTTTCCCTATAAACGTTGCTATTCTTTTTCCATTGTTTTCGTTTTTGGCTAGTTTCTCTTGCACTCATAGGACTTATTGACTTAACTTCTTCTTTAAATACTTTATTCTTTCTTTTTCACGCAAGGCTTCTAAAGACTAAGATTAATTTTCATTTGTTCTCGCCTCTTTCTGTCGTACTCCTTTTTTTAATTCTTTTCTTCTTCACTTAACTTCCTCATTTTCCCCATTCTTGATATACGGATATCTGTTAAAATTGAAAACACATGCTATACAACCTGGAGTTAAACAATAACACCCAAAGCACAATTTTATATATCTGTACCTCAGGATAAAAGTGTAACAAGTCCAAAAAGTCTAAAATCTAGTTTTCCATCAGAAATGCTCATGTATCAAGTCCTGTTTTAAATGCGATACCGTACGAAGTCCTATCAGTGTTAACAACAAAAATACCGTTTTTAAGACAGTATCAAGTCCCATGCACTTATAGATGAAAAGAGTATTAAGATTATTAAGGACATAGGACTACCTCTTCAGATTCCGTACCTGTATTTTTGTGTACTGAGTCCAGTTGGCGCCAAAACTATTCCGAGGATAAAGGGTATCAGTCCATATAAGCACGTGTGTTGTGGTGGGTGTATCGTTCGGTGCTGTTCATAGTTCTTGTGAGGTAGTTTATTAAGTAGCAGTTATAATGATGCATTCTAGAGCAGCACATATAATGAAACTGTGTTCCAGTTCACATGAATCTCTTCGAAATGAGATAAAAAATAAAGGTAAGCTATTTCTAACCTCTTGTACCGCATGATGTGGAAAATCGTTTGAATTACTTTGACTATTGTGAAGTAGTGTACGATACTGAATCTATGTTTTCATTTCAATGTTGTTGGTGGAATACTGATTGCATTGATTGAGTCTTGCTGTTAACTAACGAGTATCAAGTCCATCATATACGAGTATTAGGTCCGTTGCATATCACGTCCTATGGACTTGATACTATTATCCACTCGAAGCAGTGTTATTTTTATCAGAAAAAAGACACTATTTATAGACAAATATCAAGTCGTAGTCGACCCAGTGACTATTCTTTGTCATTTCTGCATTAATTTTTGTCTTGTTTTCAGGTGCCGTGGCAAAAAAAAGGTATCCTCTCAGGAGTCAACGTTTCTGACGCATCTTCAGGTACAGGTCTTACTGATGGAATTTAAGAACCTTGTTCAGTTGAGTTGTTTTTCATTTTTATGTCTCATTTTCTAGGTATAGTTTGTGAGGAAAACGTGATAGGCAACAAATTGATGATACATACAAGAGAAATTGTGGCCGAAACGACCGATAGAAGTATTTTGGCCTATTTAGATAAATCTTCAACACCCACTAGTGAAGAACAGCTTCACAGAGAGCAGCCTGTTTCCACTGGAAACAACGGATGCAAATTTTCTTATGAACATTTGGGAAATAACGGTATTAAAAAGAGTATTGTTTTTATGAGTCAAATTTTAATGATCCATCTTCTAGATGCCACTTGTGGGGAAGTACTTCATACACAACCACTTGATTGCGATGATAGTATAAACGATCCAACTTACAATTGCGAAATGGAGAGCTCATCTGGTGAAGAAAAGTCTTCAGATAGGTGTATCAGGAAATCTAGAAAAAG